GCGATACTTTTAATTATAAGGTAACAAACGTCCAAAAGTGGTGTAAATTGACATGTTATGAAAAACAACGGGAATATAAGCAACAGACACATCAAGCTGAACCAAAGTGATACGATATTCATTTTAAAAGACCCAGTGACCTTAAAAATTCACTTTGGTTGGTGTCAAATAAGTTATTTTTAAGCAGATTTACACCCCTCTTTTCTCAATATATTAAGAATATTTTTATTTCATTAAGATGGATCAGCCCACACGTTTTCGCAGCCCGCCATAAGTACATATTACCAAGGTAGTAGTATTTGCAACTTTCCGGTAATCTGTTTCATAGACTAAACTCATTCCTTCTTCATTTTGCGCCTTTATTCTCCCTGTGAATGTCGGCTGAACTCATTCTAACCTGTGTGACTAGCTGGTTTTAGAAATTGAAATTTAATGGTTATCCATCACAATTAAGAGCCAATTAAAAACTTACGCATAATGCACATTTTCTGAAAATAAGTGAACCATTGTGACTCACAGAAATAACTTGTAACATGTAATGACGCGTGCTAAATATCTTACCCTTTATCAACAAGGGCCGCATCAGGCCAAATCGTACTGCATTCGTCAAAATAAGGCAAATGTAATACGTTATTTACGTTACAGTAGCATTATACTCGGTTTTGTAATTTGATATTGGATGAGAGATGGTCCAAAAAGAAATAATATAAATAGCCTGCGTAGCTTGGCGGTTTAAGCAATTATTTCAGCAATTTGAGCGCGAGCGCACAAAGCGGCGACGCCGCGAGAAATTGATTGCCTAGATTACCCGCATTTTTTATTGCCGCCCCCTGTTTCATAATTTGACAACCCGATGACAGGTTTAGTGAATCGTATTAACATAGCCTGCGAACAGGCTCCAACCTCGTTCCCAGGGTCTCTCATCTTATCGCCCCCTGGAGCGCTCGCTTTAAGGGGCGGTAAGATGAGAGACCCTGGGAACGAGGTTGAACATAACTGCAACGGTACAGATTACAACGCAGATCTTTGGCGGTTATCTCTGCAGGTGGTTTCTCAGTTGTATCTCTCCCAGGCTCCTCGCGGCTTCACCGCCTCTTTGGCGCTCGTTAACGCGGCTTCGTCGCTTTCTTAGCGCCCTAAAATAGCCAAGCTACGCAGGCTATAATATTATAAATTGTTTGGGGTTATTAGGTCTCGCCTCCGCTTTGCAACTGCGCAATAGCGTGACAGAAGGGCCTCTTGTTTTGTTTTGTTTTTTTAACGGTCTAGCAGACAGATTGGATTAGAAGAGTCACGCTATATTAACGGCTATGGAATAAATTACCATCGTGATCGTTTGCTCTGACGGCTTTACATAAAGCAGAATGAAATTGATCTATTTAGCCGGTTTCACTTTAAATACCTTTAAAGAACTTTGATATAGCTTCGTCTTCTCAAGTTTCTATGTCATGAATTTTGTTTCATTTGGAATGTGTTAAACAAAACAAAGTCTGATTGTTTATACAAAATATCATTTACATGACATTGCGATCATATTTTCACGACTCCAAGCAGTTCACCACCTTAATTAACTTGTGAAAACCTTAAATCACTTTTTTCTTGCGATTCATCTGTTAAGAACAGAATAATCACAAGTTTGAATAAGTATTATTGTCGCAGAATTACTGCAGTACTTTCCACCCGAACAATACGCTTCTTGCAGCTTGAAATATCAGACGCATTCCGCCACGCTCAAAAAAAACTCCTGATTAAAAGTTCTTACAACGATGAAGTCATGTCACTGACATAAGAAATAAATCAGCGGCTGAAGAATGAATCGCAAAAAGGTTTCTTTACCGGTCAAACATGCTAATTATAGATTCTACCGATTTCGATGAGTAACAGACGTATAAATGATCAATGATCAGTCTAAACGGGTATCAGAATTGATAAACAAACTGTAGCGAGTTTCCCATGTACCTGGTCAGTCTGATCGTGACAATTGAATATTGAAGACGTTAGATGCAAT